CCGCCGTGACAAGGAGGAGGTATTTATGAATGGTAGGCTACGCGATTTTAAGCGTCTATGGATTCTCACTAAGGTTGAAACCCATCGCTTGAACCGGTTGTATGTCGAGACCATTCTGGGATACCAGAGCTGTCGCGAGATGTGGTCGGCACTGAAACAACTCTCTGGGACATGTGGGAGCTACTGTCATGACGTCGAAGAAATAAATCGATAATTTTCTGCTTCATCTGGTTCCAATTCTCTACCGTTCATTTTCAATCCCCCTGAAAACAGCAACCCTGTGTTATCCAACTGAGGTTCTGAAACATTTGAAGCAAGTTCCCCTGTATTTTCCCCGGTCTGGAGAAAAAATTTCATAATAATTTCCAGATCCATAAAACTCCTTGCCCGATGTAGTGTCATTGCCAGAAATGTTCTAGTAGATTTGATTTGCACAAGTATATTGACGCATACAAAATAACAGCTGATAGAATCGTTGGCATGACATTCTACAGTTAGACAGACATGAATCACTAAGACGTACTTCAAATTTGCCGTACCGCGAGGTATGTGGCAGCGCAACAGCATTGTCGTCGGTGGTTTTCTCACGACATATTTTTCAATCTTTAAGGAATCAATAAGTCCTTCTTGGCACATATTCAAATCCCCAATATTTGCGTTCAACCAACATCCTTGTACACACCATCCCGTCCTCGAAGTGGATGCCACAGGTCTATCGTCTTTCCTATTAGGGATCGGACATTCATGTTGATCAGAGAAGGAACGATATTTTTCAGGATTTGTGGGATTTAGTGCACTCTGCCATACTTTGCGCCTGTTTATTCCTTCTACTGACAGGAAGACTGCAGTTTCGGTTTTCAAATTGCATTCGTTGAGTATGAAATTACTGGGTATTGTCGAATTAAAAAATTTCGAGGCAGTGGTCCTGTGATACGTTTCCGGAGTCGAACCGCATAGGGCTCCGCCGATTTTGAATGGTCTATCAGATAAGACACTAGCGGTTTGTTTGTGAGTTAGTTCTTCGGTCAAGGAATCCATAAAGATGATGGAATTGCAAAACGTAGGGAAAACATTTCGGTATCCAACCCTTTTTGTTCGGCGCAACAGTAACTGGATTCAAAATGTTTGTTTCTTCGCTGTTTGCCTACGCGGGAACACTCCGTTAATTGCGCTTACGATTTTCATTTAATCCGTAATTCAGTAACCGAATCATTTGATTTGCTCATTAGACACGGCCGCAAATTCCGCCCTGGAATTCATGGACTCTGTACTGGACCTTCGTGTACCTGTGGGAGGCGTAGAGAATGAAATGCTGGAAAACGCCCCTCCAAAGATTGTGTTGCCGACGCCTGGCTCGGACGCTGCAGCCAGTACATGTTCGGATGCTGTAGCCGCCCCGGATCCACTCACCCAATTGCTGACCGCGCTCAGTCGATCTGCAATGGACCAAGCCCCAGATGATCCACTTTATCTAGCCTATGCAAAAATTATGGGAAAAGTGAGTCTATGATCGTAATGTTTGTAGCTCATACGTTCTAATTCTTGTTCGTTGCTACTTCAGTCACAGAGCTGTCCAACTTCATTCCTTCATGTGACCACATCTGCATTTAGGATGATAGCTTCACACATTAGAAATTGTTGACTTCACAGTATATGACAATCCACGTAGAGTGATATGCCAAAATCCCGGAAGGCAGTGTCCTTTAACAAATGGGTATCTTCTGCAAATACAGTACCGAGAGATGGACTATATTAATGTAAAATATGCAAATCTCAAACTGTGGCACTATCTGTGTTGACAAACGCCGGAATCGGTAAAGCCAGTAATTCAACAAGCAAGAACTGCTAGCAAGCCGTTGAGCTGCGCGAAGGCAATGGAACGAATACACCAAACAATATCAAACAAGATTACATGCATCCGTGGAATTTAAGGCTGGGAAGTGACTCAGAGGGGACCAATCGAAATATAGTGGGTGTAAATGTTAGTCATC